AGGAGGGTCCATTTCTTAAAACTCATACACCTGGACTGTAGACGGAACTGCACGCTGAATGAGACGCAGCTGCTCAGTAGTATTGTTAGACATGATATGTTTGTCGTGAACTCTAAAAATAAACTCAGAACTCTAACCCTTTTCCCAGGTTTTCTGTGAACATTGACAGTGTATGATGTTCTGACACAACGTACTTCAACAGTGTCACAATGAAAATTCCGTCTTGAGATTCCTACTGATAATGGCAGCTGGTTATACTTTACCATGAAACACAGCTTGTTCTTGTTATTCACCACTAACGTTGAGGAGGAAGACAGGATGTTTGACACACATACAGTCGGCTGAAAATTAAATTCCTTGTTTTAAGGCATCAAAAATATTGAGTAATGTATATAAATGTCTCACAAGGTAAAGTAATGAGTGAAGGATACAGTCCTACTTTTAAAAATCAAGCATCCTAAAGAATTAAAATAAATAATGTCAAACCCGTCTCTCAGAGGCTGTTAAATGTCCACAGCATGAGAGAGAGAATAAAAGGATTTTTAAAAAGTATGTTACTATGCAGAGAACAATTCCATCCAGGAGGAAAAAAAAACCCCAAAACCAACAAAAAGAAAGAACACCACACACACACACCACCACCACCAAAAATCCAACTTTTAAAATTGACATTGGCAGCCTCTCAGCTGGTCCTTCATACCTTTGGATTCAGGAAATCAGAGGTATTAAGGGAAATGCAGCAATCCAAAAGCAGCATCAGTGTCCTAGAAACACGAGCAGACTTGTACCAACATGTCAAAGAGATTAAATCCCAGAACTGTAGATAGTCAGGGGCAAGGAAAAGGGCTGTCAACACAACTGCCAAGCCTGCTCATCTATTTACTTTCTCTAGGGGCTATTCCTCCTATATACCTTCTGCAATAAATCGTCCCCTAACTCTGACTTCAAGTGCAGGTTTTGAACTCCAGAAAGCCCACAACACAGTCACCCTCACCAAGCCTTGCTGTGCATTACAGCACACCTTGTGAGGTATGGAGAACACACAGAAAATGTGGTCCAGCCTCAGCCAACCTGAAACATATTCATGCCCTAAGGGATGGCTATTGGCTCTTACACATGCCAGTAGGGAGATTAGGCACAGAAATATAGGTGTAACCTTGGTCTGTTACTCCACTAAGAATAAAAATTAAAACCCATGAAGTAATAAATTCAGTAAAACATATGTAAAGTAAGCAACCTTCAAAGTATGAATTTGACTGGATGACTCAGGTATTATTTGTACTTTTCTTATGGTAAATTTCTTGCTGGCAACATCACCGTATAAAATAAGGCACCATTCAACACTTGCAAGGCAACATCATTATGCGTCCTAAAATTAAGCATCATAAATTTAATTATCCTCATAATAATTACATTAAAGTTTCACTGGCACTTTGGAGAGGTCTTTATAACTTCAGCTTAAAATAGTGACCAACTTAAACTAAATATTTGTTTAACATATTGTCATGCAACATGGATTTAATAGTAGTTTAGATCTGTAATCTTGGTATTTTTCATTAGTCCGTAACATTTTGTTGTCATTTATTTAAACTGTGTAAGCATTAAGTCTGTGGGCAATGACCAGTACACCAAGATGAAGTCCACTGGAAAAAAAAAAAAGTCTCTTTATTAACAATTTATTTGAAGTGTGATGTAGTTTCCAAACATTCCTCAGGAATGCAACTCAATGCAAACACGTGCAAAGACTGTGAGAGTGAAAATGTTCAAGAACCTCAACATACGTGCAAATAATAACTTATCAGAGGCTTTTGTAACAGGGGCAGTTACAAGCAATTTTGATTTGACAAATTACGTTAAACCAATCCTAATTCTTTTTTACAGCAAACAGCAACCTTTGGAAGACCACAGAATCACAGGATGGTTGAGATTGAAAGGGAGCTCCAAAGGTCATCTGGAACAATCCCCAAAGATGGGCAAGAGCAGCAGATCTTACACATATTCATATTGGTCAGTTTTTAAAATTTATATCTCATATGCAAAATTCATTGAAATAGTACAAAATTAACTAGAAAAACACACAGATATAAATAGCAACATCTCTTTATCCAACTAAATGTTCTTATGAACTGGGTCTACTTCATACTTACTTGTTATTTTCAATTATGATGAAAAGTGGAGTAGTGGAAAAGTGGAAGAGACGAGACATTTATGAAATATTAATTTAATTGCAAGAACAAAGGACAGGGATTAAAAATCACCTTGATCATGACAAATTGAAAAAGTTATCTGAACAAATGAGAACACAATTTGATAGCAACAAAGATGCTCACATATGAAGCATCACTCAGCTCTGTGAATATAGATAACCATTTAGCAGGAAAGCCTTTGGGTACTTTGGGGATTACAACTAGAATATGAACCAGGACCACAACATACAAGACCTCTGTTCTTTTTGCACACTATGGGCGAGAATACCATCCCAGTTTGGGGCATCACACTTGAAGAAAGATGTGAACCTAACGTAGGGAATCCAGAAGGTGGCAAAAGCATGATCAGGGATCGTGAAAAGCCAAGAAAAACTGGGAAGAAGTGAGGTCGTTTAGAAGATTGAGGAGGAACACAGCAGTCTTCACAAAGAAAGGCTGCCTCAGAAAGGGTGGGGTTTGTCTGTTCTCAGCCATGATAGAGGTTTAAAATGCTGTGACAGAGGTGGATGTTAGACCTCAGAGAAGGTTTCATTTAAGCCAGTTAACCCCTGGATAGATCACCTGGGCAGAGTGGGGAGTATCTACTCCTGGCAGTCTTTAAAAACAAGTAGAAGAGGAACCTGAACACATGCAGGTGGAGCTGATCCCACCTTGCAGTGGGGGTTCCTATTGGCCTTACACTCCATGATTGTCCATCCTTCCACAGTCACTGAAGCCTCATTGCACTCCTACCCTGGCCTCACCCCTTGCCTCTGTATTTAGCTTTCAGCTTATTCCTAAAGCATTGCCCACCCTTGTACTCAAGAAATCATAGGGAATGGTGTACCGAGCTGGTGCCACACTGCTACTCTGCACATGTGTTCTTCTCTCCTTTCACTTGCATATTCCTCGTATATTAGAATCATAGAATCATAGAATGGTTTGGGTTGGAAGGGACCTTAAAGATCATCTAGTTCCAACCCCCCTGCCATGGGCAGGGACACCTTCCACTAGACCAGGTTGCTCAAAGCCTCATCCAGCCTGGCCTTGAACACTTCCAGGGATGGGGCATCCACAGCTTCTCTGGGCAACCTGTTCCAGTGCCTCAGCACCCTCTCTGCGAAGAACTTCTTCCTGAAATTCTTAGAGAACATACACCACCCTCTCTGCATGCATGCACACACATGCACTTTTTAAAGACAAAAAGCTTATTAGCATTCTTGATTTGCCTTAAAAAGCCACCAAAATAAATGTTTGGTAACACATGCTTCTTAATCAAGTTGCATCAGTACAGCTCACAATGCCATTTCAGAGTTATGATGCAGTCAGTAATAGCTGAGGGTGTACAGTATACAGAGGTGACACATTTCTTTCTAAAATAAAAGAATGATTAAATATCAAATAGCAACACTGACTTCTATTATGTCATCGGTTTTGAAGAGGAAATGACCCCGCAGATTAACGAGGAATTCTGCCCAGAAGTCAAAGGTATGACATAGTTCTATATTATTGAATAAGAGCTAGGTATGAGCTAGCCTACTTCAAAGAGCCCAGCCTTTAATAGCGAGAAGAGAGAAAGGCAGAGTACCAAGAATCCATATTTATCTCTGGTGTAACACCAGTGAAACCAACAGGATTCCTTGAAGTTCAGTGTGCCTTCGAGTGCCACATGGCAAGTGCCACAGGTCATCCTGTAAGCTGCAGGGTATGATGGATGGAAAAAGCAATGCCATTTTCCGTTCCTATTTAGGAAACATTGTACTAAGAAATAAGATACCGCAGGACCATATGCCAGATAATGCCTGCTTGTTATTATGTAAAAATTGATGTATCAATTCACTGAAAAATTTTACCATGTCAAACATGAACATACTCCAGGAAGTCCTCTGGAATGAATCACAAAAGTTTCCTAGGAAATTCTATTTTTCTTCTATACTGTATGGTAATTGTGCTGTAAATAATATACAAATAACACTAAATTTTTATAAAACTTCCTTTGCAAAGCAGCGAGGATTTAAATAGGCTATATGTTATTTTTTCAAAATTCTAAAACTAGGGGATCATTCATCCATCTGATCAAGTCAGACTTACTGTATTAATCCCCAGGCTACAGCTAGTGATTCCCTTATTCTTAGTGCTGACACCAAACACGTCAGTGTTCCCAGACCCCCTCGAAGGTACATTCTAAATAGATGGACATTAATAGATAATGACTGGGAACAGAGCACATAAATACCTTTTAAAAAATTAACAAACTTGGATTTCCTTGGACATATGAGCAATGAAGAAATCACCTAGTACCTTTTTAGAAAATGCATCTGAAATGTTCTCATTCATAGCCTGCTTCTGGCTTTGCACTCCATGACGAGGGCCACTATTTATCTGTGATGACCAGGGGTCCTTACTCTGGCCGAAGTTGTCAGCAACTGCCAGCACTTCACATTTAGCAGTTTCAGACACTCTGTTCGGTATCTCGAACGCAGGTTGTGCACTTCCAGAAGAACAAGACCCTTGCCAACAAACTGAGAAGTCCCAGGGGAGGGGGGGCTAAAGGAGCTATTCATTTCTCACTATGTCACCCTATTTGCATCATGCATCATTCATCTGCTGTGATGAAATGCAACCCTGTGTTTTAAAAAAAGACCTCTGTCACAGTGAGGATACTCTATCTTTGTGAGAAGTGTTTCACATATTTTCCACGGGCACAAACTGCTCCCGCTTCTATTTAAATCTGTGTAGCGCTCTTTGCGGGACAGTATTCACTTCAAGAAGTTCATTCAGAAGGTGCTCAGCAGACGAAGAGGAAAAGCCAGCATGGCAGCCGACAGCAGCGTGGCTCCTGAAGGAAAACCGAGCACTACTCCAGCGAAAAGGGCTGTCCACAAGATCCGAATGGCCAGCCTGGTCTTCAGCTTGGCACGAGGTTGGCAGCAGTGGGCATCTGACCACCACGTGAAGCAAGCCCAAGAGCCCTCTGGATGGATGCCCTCTGAAGAAGACTCATCAACTCAGCCTGCACAAGAAAAACCCTTTGAAAAATGGCCAATTCCATCTGTCAAGAGGGACCAAGGAAAAGACGATGAAAAATCCTCAGCAAAGGACTCGGTGATGATAAGAGCAGCTGAAAAAGATGCAAGGGAATCAGATGAAGCCCTCAAAAAGTTCAGCATTAAAAGCAAAGAGGTGACCAAAACAGTTGTAAGCAAAGCCTACGAACGAGGAGGTGATGTTAGCCTCCTCAGCGGAAGATACGAGGATGACAGAAGTAGCTCAGAAGTGACCAAGCGCAAGGAAGAATCAAGTGATATCGATAAAATTCTTAGCAGCAAATTATCTCCAACCATAAGGAGAAAGTGTTCAAACGTGGTATCAGAGCTGACCAAGGGCTGGAAACACATGGAACAAGAGGACAAAGAGGGAGCGAAGGAAGACCTGCTGCTTAAGTGTCGGGATGACAGCCTGGATGCAGAGGACAGTGGCTATGGGGAAGCAGAGGACAAACTCGAGCAAGGAGACAGTGACCAAGAGGTGACAGCCGTGAGGATTAAACGACCTGTGCCATCTTTGTAAGTAAAACCCCTTTATTACAATATCACAGATGCTCAGCAGACCCAGAGACAGGTACAGGTTTCCGTGAGGAAGAAGGGGGAAACAAAATTGGTAGGAAATGGTCAAAGTGAAGGTAGTACTCTTGAAGGAAAAAAAAAAAAAATCCAAAACAAAACCAAACTAACCAACACAGAAAACCTTTCACACATCTCCCTGTGCTTAAGTAGTTAGACAACAACATCTAACTACAGGCTCAGGCTTTACGTGCTACATACATAACAGACACAGGAAGTTATATTTGAGAAATGTTAATTGTATTTACTTTTCTGGATTTACCGGTTCATTAAAATCACTACTTACTTCTAAATGCTTTTGTCCACACTGCAGATTAAAATCTTTCACCTTATCAAGAGCCCACACTTACTCATTTATTTCATCAAACGTTAAGCCTGAAGTTATGTACCTGACAAACAACATCTCCAAATACTTATTCATTAGTTTGCTTAGTATAAGTTGTACATATTCTTGGGGATAATTTGCAGAGAATATCCAAAATAGACATTGCAGGAATTACCTTTAAGTACATCTTAACAAAAGCTGGGCTCGCTGCTTCTTGTTGGAAGTTTTCCATGGATTTGGAATTCTTCAAGTTAAAGAATGGAAACTTTCACAGGAGCCCGGACTCCAAACCTACATCCGGCCTGCCTCAAAACCTGCAGAATGGATAGGAGTCATGCTGTATGTGATAAATCATCTGAATCATCAATAGATTTTTCAAATTCAAGGTCTCTTGGGGAGAAGGGGGAAGAGTACATTAATTGTTGTGGAAGTTCCTGGCATACACGATTCCTTACGGCCATAAATGGTGTGAAGAAAAAAGGAAGCAGAACCTGTTACTTGCCTGTGTAGTTATTACAGGTTCTACTTAAAAAATTAAATTAAGTAGCAGTCAAATTCACAGCCTCAGACTGTTTTGAGTAATAGTTCTTTCAGTAAGAGATTCAGGCTTGACGATTATGATACGACAGCAGGCGCATATTAAATTTGGGGCCCGGTTAATAAACGAGCAGAGTGCAGCCATAGCCACGCAGTCCTTGGGAAGTTTTCCAGAAGAGCAGAGCCTGGTGGAGATTCTCTAGCTTCCCAGAGATCTCCAGCAGAACCACCTTTCCAGAAGACGGCTTCCAACAGCTGTGCTGTGGCCAGGCTTGCCAACAGCTACCTGCCAAGCCGCCTCATCGCTTTATTGCCGGTGAAAGATTAAGACCCGTACGCTTTTCTCTGCAAGAGGGGAAGCTGTAGGCAGCCATTACAGACGCACCTTAAACGGAGGCAGGGTCAGCAGAGCTTCCCCAGTGTATTTATACTGTATCCCAGTCGCCGTTTCAGAAACGTAAAACTGGGACCAGCGCGGATGAAAAGACCGGAACAGACGCTGTGACCCCTCTGCGGGCAGGCAGGCTGTACCTTTCTCGCTGCTCCGGTTTCACACCTCGCTGCTAACAAGCATTCCCCATGACCAGCATTGCACTACACATAGGCACAGATTTCAACCACACAGGACTTTTTAGCAGAGCTAAATCCGAACACGCGTAGCTACTGGAACGATTCAGACTGGTCATCTCTCACAAGGAGCAAATAGTTATTAACCAAACTGAAAACGACTCTCCACTAACCCAGAGCACATCTGCGGCCCCTGCTTTGGAGAGACCATGCGCACTGTCCTTTGACAGAAGTCAGGGCCTCAGAACAAAGATTTCACACACAGTGGGAAAGGAGGATAACGTGCAGCAGACATCATCTGTAAATAACCTCAATTAAAACAATTTGCTCACTTTAAAATGCTATCATTGAAACAAAATAGCTATCTTCCTGTTAAATCTTACCTATATTTTCCCCAATTTTCCCCATATGTTTAATTTTAGTGCTGTGACTTAGGAAAAAAAAATTATTAGCCCTATTTACTGAGGTACAAATGGCTGAAATAACACCCCCTATGTTACTTACAGTAATCTCTTCCACTGAAAACTGACACAAAAGTAATTTGCTGCACTTACAGTGCTGTTATCAGGACTAGATTTTTTTGACTACTCATATGGTTTAATTTATTTTATAGCCTCAGAATACATTATTTCAGCCTGCTACTTTTTTGAACCTGTCAGTGTGGCTTAATCTTCCTCAGAAGGGCCGTGAGTACATGGTTGTTAAAGCAAATCTCCCATTTTCCTGTCTATGTTCTATGGAAAAAGCAGCAGCACCAGTATTATTTTTCCCTCGCATCAGCACCTTCATCATTTCCAGTTGGAATATTTACTGGAATAAGGTTTCTTCCTTAGCAGAAGGCACGTTGATGCCCGCAAGCCTAGGAAACACCATTCCATTCCTGCGTAGCAGCCAAAGGGATGCAACAGTGATACAAAACTCATTAAAAACGGATTCATGCTTTTCCCTCCGGAAAGGATTGTAGGGAACACAGAACATGGATGTTGTCCTCCTAGAAGTTCGGAACGCATTTAGGGTGACCGTTCTGGTTAACGAGTTATTTGATTGCTCCAGGCAAAGCACTTCATAGTGGGTTAATGCTCGTAACCTTCACTTCAAAGCCACAATCCACTGCGTAGGTGCTATGAAAAAAAAATGCTTCTACGTGTGTAGAGTTTACTGTGTTGTCATTAAGCTAAACTATGGGTAATACGGCGCTTTGGCCGTCAGAAATGGTTAAGTTAGAAGATGCATTAAAAAAAAAGTAACTTTTTTTTTTTCAAACCCACATGGGGCATGATAAAAGCAAAAGGATAACGGTGTTTTTTCTCAACCAGAGAAGACAATTAGGGTAAGAAAGGTGATAATAGTATCCAGCTAGAAAAGAGAATTAAAGATTTTAGTAGGAAACGGAGACAATACTTCCTGGACTGTTAAATAAGATGATGTAACAAAGCCTTCAGAGTCATGCTATCTCTTGCTGCCTACTTTCCCCTCAACCTGGGGAATTGAAGCTCCAGGACCTTCTTGGGGGTCCTGGCTTTTGGACAAAAGAGGGAAGAGCTGGCTGTGACTAAGGGATAACCCCTCTGTGACAGCATCTGCTCATCAGCTCTATTGAGACTGTTGGCATTGCTTCTTCTAGGCAATTTTGATTCACTTAGGGCTTTTTTCTCCCCTTTACTGGTACTTTCCCCCAGGAAGAGCTGGGGAAGCAGTCAATCTGAGCTTCAGCTGGAGCTAGGACTCCACTGTCCCAGGGTTTCAGTGGCTTCTGGGAGATCCCATAGGCTTCAGGAGACAAATCGTTTTGCTTAATCAAATGCTGTGCCCACAGTTCCTCTGGGCAATGAACCCACAATTCAGGGCAAGGGGCAAAGGATCACAGCTTTCCCTTTCTCTGTATGACAAGAGCTTCTATGCAGGAGGATTTGGGTTATCGCTGGGAAACAAAGTTGTCTAGCCTTACCCCGCTGGCGTATTTTAATGCTTTCCTGCCAACACCTACCTGCTAATCCCTTACACGCACAAAACCACAGGTACGCACACACTGCCTACTCTCAGGTTGCTCTGCAGTCATGCCACAGAAGAAAGGCACATCTGCTTAGCAACACCATGTGCTTGATTCTTCTGATGCTTTTCACCGCACTGATGGGGAATTCTGGAGCTTTTTAAATACACTTTCTCAGTACGGCTAAGACAAGCCTGTGGCAACTCCACAGCTACACAGGGTCCTGTTCTTCTAGTCTTTCCTCTACCCTTGGCACTAAGCGTCCCCACTTCTTGATCCATAGTGCTACCCAGTACTGGCATCCTTCTGGTGCACAGCCCTTAACTGGGGACGCCTATGTTGCTATTCCCTCTGTCAACAGGCGCAGCAGGAAACAAAGGAACACCCAAGCAACAGGGAAACAAAATTTTCTGCAGGTTTGCAGTCCTCTGTACTGTTTGGCTAACTGCACTTTGGTTCCCGGGTGTTACTGCTATCATTCAGCTGTCATTACTGGGGAGGTCTCAGAGCAGCCTCCAAGGGAGTAAAAATATTAGAAAACAAATTACTTCGGCAGAGCCACGGCACAACGTACTCCCCAGCCGAGCTCCGTACAGACACGACAACAGGATGTGGGCAGCACAGAGACCGCTCAGACTATCTATAGCTCCCCCACAACACGTGAGATTGGCCACTAGAGGAAAGGCTATCGACAATTTGTCTGCCTGGAGTCATCCAGAGCTGTGATGTTGCTACACCGCGCACAGGCACAAAAAATAATGGGAAAAAAATAGCAGTAAAACCTCTGAAGGTCTTTCCTCACCCTGTCACCTTGACACAGATCTCAGTAGCAGAAGTTTCTTTCGGGCTTGTACCCTGCCAGCGGTGATGTGAATTTTGGGCTGCAATACTTGTTCAGAACCAGACTTCAAATACATACACAGAGCTAAGTGCACTCTATTAGCTTTTTGCTGTTGTTACAGGGGACAGTTTTTTCCTAGACCCTACCCCGTTTTTCAGCCGAGAGCTGAGGACCCAGTCCGTACACTTACAGGTTTTGTCTTCCCTAACATCAGGGCAGGCAGACTTCAGGCTCTGCTCGGCAGGCAGGAACAGGGAGCTGCGTGACCGCCCAAAGGTAGAGAAAGGGCAGGCAACACACGCCTTCTTCCTGCTACAGCACTAAGTTATTCTGGGCAAAAATTGTCAAAATGGGGTCAAGCCTGGGCTGGAGGATGATAATGTAGATGAAATCAAGCTGCAATCAGCAAACACGCTTTGGAGTTCACACTGGAAGGTGGACGAAGCAGCCCCCAAAGAGCTGATTTAGAAGTAGTGAACTCATGCCACCTGGTGGTCAGCATCTCGGCTGGAAAACAGGGTGACCAAGG